AATACTCAAATACAGATAGCATAACCTGTAAGAACTTTAACTGTATATAATAATAGTATTAATTGTATTAGTTGCTGTTGTTGTTGTGTTGTGCCTAACCACCCAGACAATGGAGATCTTTATTTATTTTTTGCACATGGTCTCTGCCAGATAAATAAACAACGAAATCAACTACAGTATAACCTAATTTTTTTAACACATTAAGTACATGCATTGCTCAAGACCATCTGATGACATGTCCCTACAACATTTTGTGTAAAAGCAATACTGCATATAACAGAAAAGAATAGTTTGTGTGTTTGGTGTTTCTTTGTGTACAGTGCGGTGTGTCACTGTGGAGAATTTTAAAGTCAGTATATTATGACTATTTAGCCTAAGTGCTTTCTTTTTTCTGGGATAGCATTAATGTATCATATTTTCATGAGAATGAGGGCTGTTTTGCTGTGTGACTAACATACTTTGTGAAACACACAACCCAAATAAATTAAGCACAGTTCAGTACATTTTCAAATGCAGGCACCATGAATAGAAGTGCAGAAAATTGATTTGCATCACCACATGAACTTACAAGCTCATTTCTAATTGATATGAAAAGGATAACAAAGTCTGATTATACAAAATTGTATTGTATTTTAATTATGATTGTATCAACTTATTTAAGCAATTGTACAGATGATATGAAAATGGCTAAACAGGCTTTAAACTTTAAATAGAATGGAGGACTCAGGTGGCCTGTGTAAATGTTATGGAGTAATGGTGCCCTCTTCTGCCCAGAACGCTAGCACAGAGCTACAGAAGACAATTCCACAAATAATGGTAACACTATTTTCCACAGACATCAAAGACAAGGAGACTGAATATAAAACTGTGCAAAATCAAGCTTTATTCTTTTTCCCTGTGTCTTTCATCATCACCATAATCTCCATCATTGTTGTCAACATCATCTTTGAAAAAAACAAATTACTCACTAGAGACGGACAGTGAGAGAAGAGATTCTCAAAGAGACTTGCAGCTGAAACCTCTCAGCAAAAACAGGTATCAGTTTTTAGCACAGTCCTGCAACACAATGAGTCAGCTGTGCGTGTCCTCTTCTTTCTGGGCAACACACTTCAACAAGGTCTCCAGTGTCCTTATTGAAGATTCACCCTCCTTCAGCACCTTAAAGTCCAGTCGGTAGTCAGAATTTTCAGTTCCAGAAGATACTGCAAGCCCATCTTTGTAAAGACATAGTTAAGATGTTGGGTATTATAGACTTGCTTTTGCGCCCTCTTTCCTGCAATACCTGTTTACTGCAGGTCTAAGGACAGTCCATTTCTCCAGTTTAGGCAAACTGAACAAGTGCAATGTCTAGTATAATGTCAAGAGAATACAAACCCACACATACATACATACAGTACATGACTAACTGATAAACTTGATTAGCTATATAAGTTTTCCATTCCCCAAGGTGAAGCCAAGGAGCCACACATTGTTGCGGCCCAGTAACACCCGATGTCCATTGGGTAGGGGTGGGAAGAACAAGAGCTCACCTTGACAGGATACTGCCAGCAGAATGTTTGGTAAAATTGTCCATGATTTTCTGTACAGTGGATTTTGTGTGTTGTTAATCCAATGGAAAGTGTATTTCATTCACACAGAGAATTATTCCTCAATATATCCACCATTTAAAGAAAAAATGACATCCACTTAAACTAATGATGAAACAAACTGACAGGCACAGAGGAACAACTGATGGTAGCTTTGAGAACATAAGCAAATGAACTCCTCTTTCAACAACCTAAACTAGCATATAGAGCCAACCAAATTCACTGTTACAGCATATTTAGGAACCACTGTCTTTTCTTGATGTGAGTCTCATCCTCACATTTATGGTCTATGGTCTATAGTGGCAAAAAGTTCCAGAGCTGTGTTACGTTTTATGACCTATGCTTTCATGAATTCTGCCATGTCGCACGTCTGTCCAATCAGGTAAAAGTCTTTGTTGCTGTTGCTTTTTTCTTTTCCTTTCCTTCTGAATGTTTAACATTTTATGGCAGTGAGTTTTTGAAGGTGCATCATCAATCGGAACTGAACTAATTCTTTAAAGCTGCATTAACTAACATTTAGCACAAATGTGGATAACTCAAACAAGTGTCTAGAAGTGTTTTCTCCCCTCTGTACCAACCCTCCACCCCACTCTGCTACTGTATATCCAGGTCTTGTGTTCATTTCTTTCCCTCTGTGGCCAGTATTGTTAAAATCCGCATCACATTTCTTCCATGATCCCACTGATCCGAGGTTATAAGACACGTTTTTCAAATGAGTATGGTTCATTTCAAAGACGGACTGTGGAGGCTCCCTGTGTAGGTACAACCCATGATGGGAGTAGAGCTGCTTGTTAGACCCCAAGAGGCCATGTTCTGTAGCACAGAAAGAGTGCAACAAAGAACGAGGCAAAACCAGGGTTAACGTCGGTTTGGCACATCAGAGATGGAGAGCACCAAAAGTATCTAAAGGATTCAAATTTGATGCAGATAAGGCCTTCTTCCTGCTAGACGCAAGTACCTAGCTAACGTGTATATGTTGGCATCATTAGCAAAATAATGTTAGCCTTTCAATTTTGTACCTTTGTGCTGAATTATTCTGGTTGTAATTTCATTCCAACTGACTGCAGTGTTAGCTTTTTGTTTTGTCCAACTAGCAAAAACCAGTGCGTTTTCCTACATTAGCAGGGGAAGTAGTTTCACTCAGTTTGCTCATTTTTGCTCAGTTTTGGTCCAATTTATGTTGGGCATAACACTGCAGTCCATGTAGCATTTTAGCGAGAAATTTTAAAAGTTCCGTCATCAGCACAACTAGAAAAGCGGGGAGTTTGTTCAACTATCAAAGCATAACATCAAATTTCTCATTTCACATACAACTCATGATTATGCGTGTCAAGTATGTAATACGGAACATGATGTGACAGTGGCCTGAATGTTAGTACTGTATCAATACAGGAAAAAACATTCCTCTGTATAATTTGCTTACAGATACATCCACTACAAACGTTAGACATATGTATGCATAAAAAATAAATGTAAACCTCTTTATTTGCCATTGTGTCGCTGCAATGGCACCTAAAACCACAGGCTCTATATTCTGTATACATTCGTTCTAGAGCCAGTTATTACTGCTGCACTACCTGACTGATACAACTATCTCCAGCTGTAATGACCACATATGACACCACATATGTTTCACAGACAGGGCAGGAGAGGCAAAGAGGAGTGGGGAGAGAAGAGGAGGGGAGGCGTTTTTTTGACTCTCACTTTGCCCTTAATGGTTGAAATTTAGAGGAAGAAGTTAGTTAATGCAGTTTTAATGAAAAATTATTATACTGCCAGTGGCTGGATTTGTACATTTCAGAATGTTTTCAGAATCAAAGCATTGTGTAACTTGGGTTCAAGCCACACCTCACTCACTGGATTCTGGGAGCTTTATCTAGTGGATAAAGACAAAACGAGATGGCAGTGTTTGCCCCTTAGATAACAATGTTGCACATTTTAATTCACGTCATTAGTTGAAGAATATTAAATAAATGAATTGGAGATAATGCTGCAGCAAACACAATAGGAGAACAAAGTTCTATGTGCATGTACAGTAAATCCATCCAGTCACAAAGGGACTGAGGTGTCATTTGGGATGATTTGTATTTTTTTTCTAGATATTCACGAAGAGAAATTATAACTACAGAGTAAAAGTGCAGCAAGAAAGGAAAAGGGCCAGTCGACCCATGGTTTGAAAGTGTGTCTACATGTGTGGAGAGCCATACCAGCGACAACCTCCTCTTTTATTCGCTAGTGTTTTGCACATCTGTTGTAAATGTCATGAACTGAATGAGAAAAGCAGACTGGCTTAACTCAAGTTAAACCTACAGTAACTGAGGGTTAAATGAACATGTAATGTGTAGTGAGTGGGAGAAGAGGAACAAAGGGGAGAGAGTGGGAAACAAGAGGGCCAGATCAAAACACCTTTAAAAATAATGTGCTCAAGAGTTCCTTCAGCCTTCAGTATCAGGCCAGAGGTGAGCTTGCCCAAACATTTTGCCCAACAACTTGCCCGTCTGTCTGTGTGCCTCTGCTGCAGAGAGCTACAGATCCAAGCGTTGCTGTTGCCCCTCCATTAGCTGGAGTAGATCTGGGTCCCAATGACACGCATGATCTCCTTCTGTACCTTAGGCTCCTGGGTGTTGATGTTGGCATCTCCTACTTGGCCATCCTCATACCTACACATATACAGTATATAGATGAGTCTGCATGCAGTACAGTTACATCAGTTCAATGCATTTTAAAATTCTTTGACACATGACAGGTTTTTAATCACCCTCTCTCATGCCCTCAATTTTTCAGTTGTCTGCTGCAGTGCTATTTGGTGGTATAGGGGGCCCAAATAAATGTCTTTTTATCTTAAGGATTAAGCTGTAATATTGTTAATAAAAAACAAGCTTTCCATTTACAAAAAAATTAGCTTCTGTGAGGTGCTTTTATCTATTAAGCAAATTAATTACAATGAGAAACATCGTTAGGTCTGACACACTCCATCTTCTTGTTTTTATTCTACTTTTATAAACCATTTCTTTGAGCTGAAGAACACACAGAACACACTTCAGAACTGAATTCTATTTAGCTGTGATGTAAATTTGATTGCAAATATAATTTCCAACTCCGACGACAGCAGTGGACACCATAATAGATTTTGCCATCTGGTGAATATGTGTCCAAAGCTTGGACTCAGAGCCCTGATGTGGATCCCATGTCTTATCTGCTGGGCTCTATCCACAGTGTAAAACCTCATAGTGAAAGTGTCTCACCTGAGAGGAACCTGGTTTTGTGGAGCCGTAGTACCACCAACCATCCTCACAATTTATTCACCACCACTTTAAGATGATGATGAGTGATGAGCAACAACTGCAGCATGTTAACACAATACTACAATAAATCATCTTCATCATGTGCAGTTTAGCAGGTAAAAATAAGAATCAGAGTGATTAACTATGAATTTTAACTGTGATGATGATTTTAATATGCCTGGTTGCTATGCCAACTCTTTTGGTAATTGGGCATCAAGTCTGTGGAAATTAGGAAGGTTTTTAAAGTGTTTGGAATACTTACACAAAAAAGAAGCGAGTACAGACATGGTCAGATACTGGACACACCCAGATGTTACCATGTTTCTGCAGGTCCTTAGATGTGATAACTGTTTAAAAGAGAGAAGACAAACTGCTAAAACTGAGGTGTCTCTGTATTTTTGGTCTCCCCAGCTACATACATGATAAGGTCAGAATATTAGGAACACCTCCAAATATAATGTATTCCAGTACAGCGCCACCTTTAACTATGACCTCAATAATAAACATATAATTAAATTTACACATTTATGACAATTTCATCAAAAACTGAGCTTCATGAGCACAGATGTTAAGGCCAAATTGTGGCGCTGAATTGCATACAATTAACTAATAATGTGGCCAGTGATTGTATATTAATAAAACAAACTATTGCCTGGACTTATGCCACATATTCACTATTATCCCAGCTTTGCAGTCATACCTTCTGCTTGTCATTACCTTCACACAGAGCGATGCAGTTCAGATTTCGACTCTGAAGAAATCTTGATTGTATTGGACGGCTCTGTTGAAAAAAATAAAATAAACACAGACAACAATAAGTCCTGTTGTTCTGTACATAAAATATGCTTTTTGAGCAACAGCTCACAACTGGCAATCAGTGTTGATTTTTCCCAAGGCTTCAAAACGTTCCATGTCTGCCCCTCTATACCATTTACACATCTTCTTTGTGTGCAACGAGAACCTGGAGTCATTGTGGCCAACTACCTTGTAAAGCAATATGATGCTGTAGATAGTCTTGTATTTGATAAATTCAGCGTATATGTCAGGAATGCACCCTGTTCCCTTACCTGTGGTATGGTGTTCATGCGGTTGTAACGCTGTACCAGTTCATCTTTGGTGGGCATGCGGTGCTGTCCTTTCCCCATCCCTGCAAGAAGCAGCACACAGACGGCAAACAATGCTCAGTTAGAATGACCTTACCTGCAGTCATTCAAGCTGTGAAAAACTTCTCTCTAGTTTTGAACTCCTTGTACAGAGAAGTTATTACCCACTGCGTCAACCTTCACATGAAGGTTAGAGATCCAAAATGCTAGTGAATTCCATACTCATTCCTAAAGTTAAGAAACCATGGGCTTAGAAGGAATGTGGGCCCTGTTGGCAACCTGCTGACCTCATAAGCTATCTATCAGACTACCACAGTACAACCTGAAATCCAACCTCTGATTTTGTATTTTGAGACTTAGTTTAAATGGCTCTACACCCCCACCCCACAAAAAGAAAACCATATAAATAGCCAGCCATGTACAATGCAACACACACAAATCCACTGACAACGGCATTTTAGAGAGCCACAACAAAAAGTATGGTATGGCAGGCAGCACACAAACTCAGAGGCCCAAGGCCTAGCATCCAAAACACAATGCAGCAAAATCAGATAGCATGGGAATATCCTACAGGTGAAAATGAACAGTTTCAGAATGATAATCAGGCCGTGTCTCACACAAAGCCATGTCAACAAACACTGTAGAAAAAAGAAAGGTGTTGGGGGTCTGAGTGCAAGGATTCAGTTGTTCCTACCTGAGTATCCAAAAGATATGCTGGAGATGGGGCTGAGATAGATGCCCTTTCCATATGCTGCCCCATGCAGCTTGGGTTTGAAAAGAGCAGGAAGGAAGGGTCACTGAGCAGCTGCACAAGAAAACCTCACACAGATGCATGGGTGCACTCACGCATACAGAGCAGTACAAAGTAAACTTACTGTAGTTAATACATAGGAAAGTCTGTACAAGTCTGTTATGTTTCTGTGACAGTTCACCTGTCAAATCCCACTAGCCAAGCATATTAAATATACACTCCCACTCACACACGCAAAAATCCAAAGACAGAGTACAGCAAAAAGTTCAAGAAAGTAAAGTGATTGTTTCCTATAATCCACATAGTCACGCCTATAAACTGTCAGCATATTTTCTCCTTACAACATTATGTTTTCTAGTGGAGATTATTTGATGCTCTTGAATGTTGTGAGTGAAATTTGTGTATAAACTGCTCAGGTATTCAAGCAAAGCTGACATGAAAAATGAAACCATGCATGGTGGTTTGAAGATGAACATGAGATAAGGATGACTGATAATAACGGTGACCCTCCACACAAGAATGTCCATAATGACGAAAACAGAGGGACTGCTGGTGTAAAATGGACGTGTTCATAAGCCATATTGAAACCAGAGGAGAAACAGGAGGAAGACCAAAGAGCAACTTGATTGTCTGGGAATATAACAGGAGGGAGATGGGAGATAGTCAGGACATGGCACATCAGGGAGAAATTCAAAGTGAACAACAGACAAAAGGTTTTGTGTGATGGCTGGAGCTGGAGAGAGACTCTACCCTTTTCCTCCTGTGAAACACAAGGACAGAAGAACAGGGGTGTCAATGCTCAAGGCTGGAATTGAGAGGAAGAGAAAGAGGAGGCAGGCAAGCACCAAGGCTCAAGATCAAAAAATGCATACTTCAAAAAGTTGGGGAACAAAGGAGGCATAGCTGAAACACATCAGCACAAGAGAGCAATCATGGCTGATGTGAACATTTCAAAGAGCCTCAAGATTTCAGATGTAGTTGGCTGTATTGTGTAAATGAGATAATTCTGTGCTATCTAGCACACACCGCTTGTTTTTTTACTATTTATTTGGCTTTTACAGACCTGGATGCAATTTTGACACTGTATGGCTTTCTGCTTCTGACTTAAAATGATCTTTATGGTCCCAACTTGTTCAGTAGTGCCCATCTGGTATCACCTAGTTTATGAACTCTCTATTTTGTGGGTACTATTTGACCCAGATCTGAACAGATGGTAAGTGCCAGGTACTGACCTTTGATGAAAACCCTTATCCACCTCGAGGAAGTCTATACTCACTATCACGGAGCTTGTCCTGTGCATCCTTCAACTTCAGACCTAGCCTACTAAATGCTCTAGGTGGTTAACCCCAACAGGGCACACAAGCAGCCTCCTGACATCACAGCTGACCACGCGCCACAGCTGCCTCCCTTTGTCCCATAACAGGAAGAGACGTGCTGTCTGCTGCTGTCAGCAGGGGAATCAGAAAGAAGCCGATAGTGTGCCCTGCTCGCTAAAATGCCAATTGCAAAGCCGATGAAAGGGAAGCTGGCATCCATTAACTGCAAAAATGAATCAGCCGGACAGCGAGCCTGCCATGTCCAAGAGCAGGTTCACTGTCCGAGAGGAGATGCATCATACATTTCAGCCAACTGCCAGGGTTACGTACCTGCAGTTTGGTATAAGAGGCATTGACTAGTCCATTTCTCAGAACAGAGTGCCAGTTCTCTATATGGGAACCACTAGAGCAAGTGTAGAGAGAGGAAGAGATAAAAAGAAAAGATAAAACAAAGTGCTGTGTGACTATAAAAAGTGTGGATCTCCATGTGCAACCACCATGTGCAGCGGCCAGATCCATGCTGTTCAAGCATGTCGATATATAACAACTCTATTGTTCATTTCACATGGTGACCTTTGATTCACTGCAGTGTCTACGGTCCACCAGTGTCTACATCAAAAAAAACGTCTTAAATCCTAAAGACTACCATCTTAAATGGAAACAGCTTCCTTCTGTTTATAACGGTTACATCAACTGGCAATAGAGATTAGCAAATAGGTATTAACAAAATATTTACTATTTACTCCAAATGTTAGGAATTATTAATATGTAAAAATCTACAAAAAGTCTTATTAGATTTATAGCTTTTTTATTTGTTATTGCTGTGCAAATATTTTCTAAAAGATGATGAGAGAAGATTCAAATGTTCTAATGCCAAACCACTGCTGTAGTCATCTATTTATACCATTGGTTCAAGAACATTTTGGAACATTCTTTTCATAATAGTTCTCCAGATTAATATCATTTAATATTTAGAAAAAAATGAAAGTATTCTAAATGAGGATTAAAGATGACAACCTATCAAGGCTGTCTTTCATAAAAGATGCTTTAAAAATAAATAAATACATCTTCTAGCGCAGGTATTTTGTCTTAAAATAGAATACAGTGGTCACAGCACTGTCAGAGTGCTGTTATTTTTAAATAGTTTTGAAGCATTATTAAGTTCTTGTTCCTACAGTGAAATGAATATACAAGGAAGTTCTTAATTCCATTTATTAGATAGTTGTTTTAGGGTTCCCTTCTAAATCTTGCAGATTGTCATTAAACAGACTTTGAGTGTGTATTTATACTTTGTATGTTTCTATTTATATCAATATGAAACAAAGGCAGCCAAGCTGACTTACATATTTGGCATTTCCTGTTGAGAAATGTTAAAATTGTATTATGAACCAGCATAAAGAGAGAATGCTCATGAGTTGCAAGTGTCCAGATGGGCCATGTATGTCTAAAATATTCTGCAGAGCCCCATCTGCTACAGTACAAATCTCTGTCTCACAGACATTGCTGGCTCCATGCGCTGGCTTAGCAAGGTGGTTCCTCTGTGCTGTTGCTTGTTATGGTCCCACAAAAATCTGCTAGAATTTGTTGGCCCCTCTATCCATGACATAATGACCAGGTGTTACACTGAGACGTGTTTGTGTTTGACAGTGTACTGCTGTAATGCTAAATTATGCATGGATTTGAGTGACTATGCTTAATTTGAGATACATTATTTACATGTGGTTTCTCACATCGTATTTGCTCTACAGCCACAAAGCTGAACAACAGAGCTCATTTGTGATATTTTATAGCAGTCTAAATGATTTTACCTTATAAGCTTTGAAATAGCGATACAAAGAAAAGATAAAACTTTGACTGTATTAAAGCTTGCAGCCGATGGGAAGCGCAATTAGGACTCACTGGAAAGCGAAAGTGCTGCCATATAGCTTCTTGGCAGTGCGAAAACGGGCTTCCTTGGCTGGAGGACTGCTGAGCAGCAGGAACTGGTGGGAGGTGTGCATGAATTTCAGTTGCTGTCACAATGAGAAAGGACAAGTGAGAGCGAGAGGAAGACAAACAAAGGAAAAACAAGCATAAACCATACATTTACATAGTGTGGCAAAACTAAACCCATAAAGGAGACTTGAGAGGATGTCATTCTGGTGTCCTACCCTACTGAGAGGCAGCTTGACAATATGAGACCTGTTACTGGAAATAATCCTGCAGAAAGAAAGACGGAGTACAATAAATAAGATTAAAATTAAATGAAATTCAGCCATAATTGCTTTTGTCATTTATACCCACACTTTTCATGCTGTGGCACATCAAAATGTTTTCCATAAAAAAGTTGTATTGGTAAAAATTCAAGCATTCTTGAAGTGTGCATGATCAATTAACTAATATGACAAATTGCTCTCTAGTGAAAGGTAGTGCTATATATCATTATAAACCTGTTAACATGCAAACCAGAGTCAGCCCATTTTAGTTTATATTCTGCCTTCTCACCACTGTAGCAGAGGATGGGCCAAAGGGTCCAGTTTGTCCATCTGTTTCTTGATCTCCAGATATGAGCCCTGGAAAAACCACACAAGCATGTGTCGTTTTTAGATTTTTTTTTCCCCCACATATTTTCTTTTCTAAAACCAAACAACCAAGCGGCCAAAACTTCAAACTTATGATTAGTACACAGTATTTATGCAGTCCAGCCACCGTGTTCTCTAAATGAAATATTTTAAACATATAAATCAAGTATAAAAGTAGCCTTAATATAGCCATTGTGGCCCTTCTCTTCATTCCCATCCATCTCCTGCTTGTACCTGGGTCATTTCCCGGATGGACATGACGCTATCCAGTGCTTTCTGCAGTCTCTCATAATTCTTCTTCTGTGTTCATCAGTTGAGCCAAACAGTCATTGTATGAAATGAGAGAGGGAACAACAAAAAGATGTCTAAAATCACTTGTAGAGGTTCAAGTTTGCTAAATTATTCAGGAATCCAGCAGTGAGGATGCTGACCTTTGGGTTGAAGGCCAAAGTCTTGGGGTCGTTGGGGTCAACAACTGATGGGTAGGGCTCAAAGATGATGCTCTTACGGGGAGACTCAAGAGCAGCTCGGCACATAGCCACAAGTAGGTCCACAACCTGAGGAGAGAGAGAGATTACATTTTTACATTTTATGCCTTTATCTTATATTGTTAATGACCTATTTTGATTCTTTTATTGACTCAGTGTAACATGGCAGTAGAACCTGGCTCAGTTCCAGTGACACATAAACTGTAAATACTCAGGGACATCATGGTGTCTCCCCCTCAGGTGCTGGTGCTTAACATGCATATTTGGTTTCCTTACAAATATTTTAGCCTTTTATTTTTTCAATCTACATTTGAACTCAATGCAATTTTTGGGATATGGCAATAAAATACTAAGAATGTGTTGTGTTATTGTCACCTCTGCTCCTGTGGCCACTTCCTCTGCAGCTCCGGACATCACACCCAGAGTATAAAAGGAGAACACACACAGCTCCCTGGTGCACACAGCAGGCTAAGCACACACATAGACAAAAAATTATGAAATAGCACTGATCTGAATGTGTACTACATGTCCACACAAACACAAGTAAACCTACCCTATTTACTAAGAGAAAGAATGTCACTTTTCTTTTTTCTTATCCAACAAGCAATGATTTATAAAGCTCAACTGTACGTTTCTTGATCATGTCTCCGATACCTTCAGCATGGACCCATTCTGAAAGACGTGCTGTTCATCGCAGACCACACAGTACTCGTTGAGCGTGGGGATTCTCTGCTCTGAGTACTTCATTATCTGTTAGGAGAAAAGTACAGTGGTGTCCTCAGTTACCACTCCCACCTTCTTCATATAAAGAAACAAAGACTAGTTTAGCATAGAAACTGTGACAAAGTACAGTTTTGCCATGCATTTATGGCAGGCGTAACCTGCTAAAGATCCTAGTATAACAATGCAGTGTGAGGCCCAGCCCTTGTCACTGCAAGCTGGTACACAGTCACCTCCATAATACAATATGGTCCTCACATCTATACAAATTGTAAGGTGGGCCTTAATTACTGCTGACATACATTTATTTTACATTTACAAATCAGTCACAGATACTCTGAAGTAAAACTTGCTTTTCTTAAATACTGTACTCATAAACAATTACAGGGAACCAGTTACTTTATCGCTATATAACTGCATAACAGACTTTCTTCAAATGTGAATTGCAGTGAAGAAATCATTGTTTCAAACTGTCTGTCATGTCTGTACACCACAGAAATGACTCTTCAGATATATGATGTATAAATGGGCTCTTTTCTCCTTGAGCTTTAACCTGCACTAAGAAGCCATACTCCAAGGTGGGGATGTTCTTGCAGTGCCCGCCCGCCTGGGATGAGAAAAACAATTCAATCAGCTGCCTCGTGGTAATCTGCGCTGGGGCCCTGGCCGCTGGGACAGCCACAGTCTGATGGGTCAAGTGAAGACAAAGCATTATGGGAAACAGTACATCAGCCATGTTACGGAAGGGGTAGGCAGTGGCTCAGCTTGGAACGGTGCAGGTGGCAGGTGACTGAGAAGAGGATCACAGTGAATCAAAACAGAAAAGAATACTATACACTATCTCCATATTTTGCAGAATTGTGGGTGACTTGAAACTCACTCTTAGAGAATCATGAGGGCAAATATCAGCAATGTTAGAAATAAATGTAAAGAGCACAATGTTTATAGCCTCAGTGTTGTGTACAACAACCCTATGATTGCAACATAACATGTGAGTGACACACACTAAAGGCAGTTAAATTAAACTAAAAGGTAACTGACTAGATGGATAGCTGCTGATTTGTCCTGATTAGCACTGACCTGGCTGTTTGGTGGATAACTAAAGAGCTCCCCTTTAGGATTCTTCATGGTACAAGAGATAGAGCGATTCATCAGGCGGGTCACTCTCAGCTCAGGAACACTCAGCTTCCCTTTTAAAACACTGTCTTGAATCAGAGGAAAACTTGGAGACCTGGCAAAGAGCAAGACACCAAAACATGTGCATCATTTTATCAACCATTTTTCTAAGATAAACCAATGAAACCATTACATAGTTGATGGTTTGACTTCAAAGATTTGGCTTTAAAGGGCAAATAATGTTGAAATGAAAAAAAAATCCCTAGTATCATTTGTGACATCTTGTCAGCGACATATAAAACTGCAATGTGTTAACATTGTCGGTACCTGAGTAATTTTGTAGTCACTTGTGTTACACTCAGCTCTAGTCACTCACACTGCCATTAAAGCACTAGTTCAGACAACAGGAACCTGTTTAGACACTAGCTCAAGTCTCTAACTGTTAAAATACAAGAACCAGTGTTCACTTCCTCCATCACTCTCAGGACATTATCCAGGTACCCTCTTGATATGAAACTCCTGTCAAGTCATGGGGATGTCAGCCTAGTAGTTAGCGAAGCTGACCTCCATCAAGTGGGCCAGGATTCAATCCCTGTGCACCCATAAGTGTCACAGCATCCTGATGTAAGACAGAGGCCAAGAAGAAAACTCCTCCCTGGGGGAAAATTGGTTGAGTGCGTCAGATTTTGAATTTAAGTGAACCTACGCTGTGTTGTGTCACAGCTTCCTTTCTCCTGCTTGTCATTGTATGTCATGAAACTCTATATGATTTATTCTTTAAAAATAAAAGCACAAAAGAGTGTGTTTTCAGTATTATGCTATTTCTGGTTTGCCCTTTGTAATATTTATAGAAACTACTTTCATTTGAGTGACAAGGAAGCTTTCAAAATTTTAATTGCCTGGAAATGCTAAAATAATGAAAGATTGCAGACACTTGGATACAGTGAAATGTTTAGAAATAAAGCAGTTCAATAACCAATGAAAGTGTTTTTAGACATTAGCACCTAAACCATGCATCATAATGACAGTTTACCAGATTCACTACAGTGCTGAAAACTATACACATGTTAACTTAGAAGAGAAATAAAAAATAGATAAATACAGTTTTTAAAAACTGCATTTGTATTAGTTTAAGATACTGGAAAAATTATCAGTATCTTGGATAACTACTGCTCTGTTATATCAATATGCCACAGAAACTAGAAACATAATATTTGCTTTCTGAACATGTTACAAATTATGATTTTCAGCATATTCCAGATTGGAATGTTAGCTAAAAGACTAAAATGCACACACTGTATGTAAAACATGGTTGTGTAGATGCTTTGAAAGAGATCAAGAGTGAGAGGAAGACCTACTTGGGTATGGGGGAGAAGATGCTGAGCCCAGCACGGAACTTCTTGATGGTGCCTCCGGCTTTGAACCAGCTGTGCCTCTTCTCTTGCTGGGTCTTGAGGAATTCATTACTGAGGTGCTTCCACTGCTGTGAGGTGAATGTGCTCAGGATCCTGCCATGACCAGGATGAAACGAGAGTGACTCTGTCAGAGGCTGAATTCCTCTTTAAATAAGCTTCAGTTTGGTACACATTATTATTTTGTGTCAGTGAATTAGTAACCCAAAAGACTCTAAAGGCTAACGATTACAATTAAATGTTTATGCCTCATGTATCTATTTTACAAGTCTAATGGTAACTTTGAAATATAAATCATTTGTGATTTGTATTTTTGATGGTGCACATTTGGTTTTGTAAAATTTATAGAAATCTGAGGTTAAATTATGAAGTCAACAATACACAAATGTCCTGTAAAATTGTAATGCACCGTATGACTTACTTTTTGAGCTGCAGGCCCAGGCTGAACCCTTCTTTATTGGAGGGCTGGAACACTTCTACTGAAGGCTCTGAGTAAAATGATAATGTTATTACACAGTGCCCAGATACATAGCTGTTTTTTCACTCTCCCTCTTGTGTAGCACATATTGTACAGTACTCCCACACTCAGTGAGTAGCAGGAGTGCCTAAAGTCCCTCCCAGAAAAACATAACATCCACACCTACATCTTTACTCACCAGGTCCATCGAGGTACTGAGAAAGAGAAAAGCGCAGTCTCAGAACAATGGGCTCTGTTCTGATAACCTTCCATGCTGTCGCAACTTCCTCCTGAGTCAGGCACACACATAACACAATCATACAGAGTTAGCATCCTAATTAGGGCCATTTCTCATTACATTAATAAACTACGAGTACACAATACATTATAAATGATGTGTTAACTTGGCGAAATGTCAATGTTAGAATAGTAATGGCCAAAGACAGAGGATGTGTGTGCAGAGGAAGAAGAATGCTGACTCACATCTAGGAAGCCAATGTTAATATGAAGATCGATGTCCACGTCATCAATGGTTCCATACTCCCTGTTCAGAGAAACAACAACAGATCTTTCATCATTAGTAATGGGACGCATTACGCTCTAACCCCTTCAAATGATTACCATTTGAAGGAGAAAAATAAGGGTTATTTTTTCCTGTTTTGACAGACAAAGCCCAGTTGAAAGTCAGTGAATCATGTCTGGGGCGGCTGTGGCTCAGGAGGTATAGTGGGTTGTTTCCTAACCGGAGGATTAGCGGTTCGATTCCCGGCTTGTCCAGTCAACATGTCGAGGTGTCTTTGAGCAAGACACTGAACCCGGTGATGTCACCAGTGTGTGAATTTGGGAGTGTGAATGGCCAAATAATGTGAAAGCGCTTTGAGTGTGCTGTAAAAGCATAGAAAGGCGCTATACAAGTATAAGACCATGTCTATATATTGCATTATGTGTGGCAAATTAAAAATGGCCAGCAGACTTAATTTTATTAGCCCTTGTTTTTTTTTGTTTTTTTTCCAGAAGAAGTCTCAAACTGTGTGTGTCTGTGTATCTGTGCTGTACCTGACAGCGACAGCACTGTCAGTGTAGATGTCTTTTACTGCCTCAATGTCTGCGTCCAGTTGAGGATGGCGGTACAGGTCAGCAGCACAGCTCCCCTGTAACAGGCAGTACATTATCACTGGTCACTTTTTGATTTGACGTACCTCCAGAGCTTTGTCTGATGAACTCATCTACCCTTCACTGAAACCATCTGTCAAGTTCCATATGAGTTAATTTTGACTTTAAAATGAGGGTATCATGGTTGTTATTTAACACAACTTAATCATTCCATGTAAGAGCAGAAGTAGCTTCTGAGGTACAAGCATTCCTGGCTGGGAATCACTACTGTGGTAAAACGAACAAAAGAGCAGACACATGCAGAGAGTTTGTCAGGGGCAAGGGCTCAAATTTATAAATGGACGTTTCTCAGTATGAAGCTCCCTGGTAGACACTGTAAACAGAGTTTGTGTTACATATTCACAGCTGTGATTATGAGAGCCTACTGGTATTTTATTCTTACCTTGACAGAAATAATAATAACAACAAAAATGCAGTTTTGGTTAACTAGAGATGAATCCAGGTCAACGAGGGCTTTAAAAGAATTGTGCATTTTTCACAATTATTGCTGTTGTTTAAGATTTTTTAAGGTGTAGAATAACTGCATGCCTATATATATATAATATATACACAGACAGACAGACAGACAGACAGACAGATAGATAGATAGATAGATAGATAGATAGATAGATAGATAGATAGATAGATAGATAGATAGATAGATAGATCATAACATTGCTAAAACATTGTTAGTGGTGGCCTAAAGCTTTTGCACAGTACTGCATTTTTATTTCAGTGACTGTTTTACATTATGGCATTTAATGTGCTCTGTGGTTATCACAGATACCTGTGTTGATATCCTCTATAAAGAGCATTTTTGAGTACTAATAATAATAGTTTACCCAAGTCTGTCACACGTGTTCCTAGTGTCTACACTCGAAGTCAGACTCTCATCTCAGTTCAGAGCGTGTGGAACAGATACCACACATTTATTCTTATCTTCCATATGCCGCTTTCATGATCTCTCATTGAGATTGAAATGAGATTTTTGTCCCAGACTGGATTCACATTTCAATTACAAGACTAGGAAGATAGTGGTATAAAATGACTAACAGATTTAGATTCTATATGGACGTGAAGTACTGAATATTACAAGATGTGATAATTAAATGGTGGCCACAGAAATTCAGCTGACAGCGTTGCTTGTGACAGAAACCTAAGTTTGCTTAGGGTGATAGTACTAAAAAGAAAGTACACTGATCTCTAATTTGAAATAAAATATTACATTTTCAAAAACCTATAGTACTTCAGCATTGTCAGTTTGCAAACGTTTGTATACAAGTCCAAACCCAGAACCTTATTGAGCACCAACACGTCTTCCATGTTAACAGAACATCACAGATCACATGAATTAAAATGTTACCCTGCTAGTAGCAAGGTATTAGGATAGTCAGCCGGTCCATCTGTTCTGCAGTATCAGAACATATTGCCATGACAGAATTTCCTCTTGACCAAAAATTAGATGATGACAGTATCTTAAAAACCAGTTGTAATAAATGAGCAAAGCACACCCTATCTGAAGCTCTTTTACAATTTGTTGGGGGAAATTTTAGATATTATTTGCAGAAATCTATTCATTTTAAGCAACTCGTTTGAGGTTATTGCATTTTTTTAAATTATGATATGATATTGGTTTGAAGTAAAAAATCTGATAACAATGCTGACTAGCATCAGTACTGAAAACAAAATCCCAACACCAGATTCAACACAGAGATTTAGGAAGGCAGTAACAGCATCTTCTGTACCTGAATGCCATACAAGAACTGCTCTGACTCGTTCTCCCCGTCCGACTCCTCGTCTGTCCAACACTGGCCTTTGATGTCCTGTGGGCACACACATTGTGAAAAGGCCATTACAGTGGAGCAGGAAGAAAATGCAACCTCCTTCTATCATCCTTTCATCTCACATCCTTTCTCACATCTCCCATTCAAGGGTTTCAAAAACATTACTTTTATAGCATCTCAAAGGGAAAGACGTAGCGGCATGATTTATTTCCAAGAGACAGGATATTCTCTGAATTCACCGTTCAAAAGGATACTCAACTGACAACCAAAATGGATAAGTTAATAAATATATCTGCTTAAAAAACCCTTCTTTCTTGTCATTTTTAGCAAAGTCTCAGTCCTAGAGGTCCTGGTGCATAAACCTACAGTACTTAGATTAAGCTAATACATTATTTAACTGTCAATGGAAAGTGTACACACACTTTCCATTGACAGCCATTTTTTATTTTTATTTTAATACTTTCTAAATTTTAAACAAAACTATGAATGGATGGCTTAGCTTAATCACATGCAGTGACGATCCTAGCTGTCTTACCATTGGGTCTGCTGTTCATAGGGCTCACTCAGACAGGTTTAGGCCTTTGAATACTGCCAACCATTGCAGCCTATTTCCAGGTGGAAGGAATGAGACCAGACAACCGGCGAGCGCTGACTGACCACCTCCCTTTCCTGCTGTCTTCAGAAGTGCACAACCTTGGAGAAATTGAAATTTAAAAAAATCAGCATAAAAGATGAAACAAAGAGGCCATCAACAGTGATGCCAGGCTTTGTAAAGGTGCCCTCCTCCTCTTTTCTTTAAATCGTCTGCACTTCACCTTGCCATGTATCCTAGCAACAGCCATCTCTGCCTCGTTTCAGAGTGGCATTAATCACTGTGGAGAGAGTGTGTGGGAGATATGTGCTGTACGCTCAGTACCCAGGATGTCTCCATTTCTTTGTTTTGTTTTGTCTTCCCGGTAACTTCATCTGTTAATATTGAAGAACAAAAGATTGGCAAACCTTTATAGATTCACAGTGAAAACAGCACAGCTGATGCCAGTGCATTGTTAGACTGCTGCTTTTAATTCGCCTGGCAAATAAATACAAGGAAATCTTTGAAATGCCACACAATTCCCTGTGTATGCATAAGGACAAAAAAAAAACAAAGAATGTTAACATAAAATAATCGCTTATAAAAGAATAGTTCTAGTTTTCATAAAAAGAAAAACTATTAAATAATATGGCAATACATTTTGAGAAAATAAGAAGACAAACTGCACATTGCTGACATGACACAATCACCTACATCCACTACATCTTATAGGGGCCCTTGACATTTTGCATTAGACATGTAAACAATGGGCATGGTGTCCTTATAACAAAACTTAAAGCTGCAGATGCAGAGAAACTTATTTCATACAGTGACCATTATAATGTACTTTTTTCAGTGTGTATCAAACCAAAATAATAAAGAAGTACAATTATCAGGACTGGATCCTGGGACATGTGCAAACAAAGACTGAATGGAAACAAAGCTTGACCGTACAAGACAAAATGCTTGACAAAACCATCATGCATGAAGGCATCCAGGTTAAACATAAGTCAATATAATTAATAATTCTAATTATTAATTAATTTCACTTTCTCATTGTCTGCTCTACCAACCTAGAGTGGGCCATTTTTACATGTCTATGCAAAATAATTATAATACTGTGTTTTTTGTTCTAAATATATGTCTCTTTTCTAGGTTTGGCTCCTTTATTTTCTGCAACAATGCTCCAAACATCAACTGCACCCTATTAAACACGGCTCCCCTGTCATTACCCTGTCTTCCACTTCAAATTCTCTTTACTCCTCCATAAGCCTGCTGCTGTGCCACGTCCTCAGCCCTGCTAGCATCTCCTCCCCGCAATCCCCATAGCCTCTGTTGTCTCACATACCATTAAATATCCCAACCACACAGTCCACGCTGCAATCGACCCCATTCCTCTATGTAAAAGGTAATTAATACAAACACAGATGCAGTCAGGCGGATTTTCCCCTCCCCCCCCACCCCCCATGCCCTGCACCTCAACCCCATCCATCCACACTTACCCCCACAGAGGATGGAGACTCGGATGCTGTCCTTGCCTCAGTTGCTCCCCCTCATCACCCAGTTGTTCAGCGTCTGTCTATCGATGCTTGAGCTGTGTGCCTGTGAGCAAAGCAGCTGGTGTGTGTGTCTGTGTGTTTATCTATTGCAGATCTCTGCTCCTACTGCTGTCTTATATTTTGCCTGACAACACTGAGGATTCTGAGCATGCTCAGTGAGACCAGACAAGTCCAGGCCAGTCATGTGACCTGCAGCTGACTGCACTGCTGCTAAGAAATAAGAGAAAAAAATGGAGGAAAGTGGCTCTGCTTGTGAATGTGCATCTGCCTGTGTGTTTGTGGTGTGTGTGTGTGTGTGTGTTGCATAGGTCAGTGTCTGTTACAGTAATGTGCAATTGTGTTTGAAAGCCGCTTGTGGTTAATTTTTTAATACTTTGTTATGCATTTTCTAAATTCACCCCCATCCCAAAAAACAACTCAACTGACCTAAAGAATGGCCAGATTAACAAACAGGTGTTGGGCCAAATGTTTGCCTGTAGCCATGAGAAGATCCTCAAACATTTATTTGGCACACAGTAAGGCAAACTAAAGAACTAAAGAACAAAATATACATATGGGGACTGTAATTTGACATCATAGTTGAATAAATTGTTTACTAGAACAATCATACATTATTGTGCAAGTGCCCCTCACTGTACAGCAACAAACAATTCTTAAAAGCTAAAAATGCTAATTATAAAATAAATCTTTTTAACTACTTTTAACTAGGCCATTTTCTTTATTCCATTTTGAGCACAATCGCTTTGATAAACTGAACTTAACTGCAACATTCTGTATAAAGAAAAATAAAGAATTTTATTATAAAGTGTATCATTTGTTCAGCTAAAAAGACGGCACCTACATTACAATAAATTTCAATACATGACAACTAGTCAAGTAGGTAGCTAGCATATCCTACCTGCTCATCTCTGAGACTGATTTGAAGCTATTCTTGCAGTGTCATGGCCCAGGGTTAAACATTCATTAATGCAGACTGACAGTCAGGGGCTTAGCCAGCAGACAGGATAACTGGACAGCAGATCTGTCCCTCATCTGGTGTATCCATTGGCCTGAGGTACAGTGGAGTGGATCCAGACCAAGTCTGTCAGCAGCCAGTGAAACAACATGGGCACTAGAAGCAGCAGTGCTAACAGCATTACACCTGTGGACAGGTGAGAGCTAAATGGGACTCATGGGACAGAGGACAACGACATAGTGATGAGTGGTTACAAAAGGCCACAGGAAGTCCAGAAAAAAACTGAGATCAACATCAATACAAAGCAATAGGCTACTGTGAGTTTTCAGTATTGTGTTGTCCAATTTATATTACAGAGATTGATTGTTTAAATTTGAGTCTCACAATAGTTATGGTAGGACTTAGTTTCTGTCCGCCTTCAGCAAATGTGATTAACACAATAACGCATTTTTTTATATCCTGGAGAAAATTTGCAACATAGTTCTCCAGTGTTAGCACTGAACAGGCAATTTAGTGACATAGACTCGCGTGCGTCTCTGACTGTGGATGCCACATGATCTCTTTGTCCTTCGCCAGACAGTAGGTGTCCAGAAAAAAACTGAGATCAACATCAATACAAAGCAATAGGCTACTGTGAGTTTTCAGTATTGTGTTGTCCAATTTATATTACAGAGATTGATTGTTTAAATTTGAGTCTCACAATAGTTATGGTAGGACTTAGTTTCTGTCCGCCTTCAGCAAATGTGATTAACACAATAACGCATTTTTTTATATCCTGGAGAAAATTTGCAACATAGTTCTCCAGTGTTAGCACTGAACAGGCAATTTAGTCTCTCTCTCTCTCTCGCTCTGTCTATCTGTGTACTTATCCCTGGTAATCGGGCCTTCTATTAGTAACTAGTTTAATATTGGTATTATAGTAGGCTACTACTAGTAGTAGATGTATTTTGTATAAAAACATGGTAAACACAGACGAAGTGATCAGATAGGCTAACAATATTAAATATTTTTAAAACTGTTATACCATGTTTCATCATTAGATGGGGGTATTGCCCCAAACACTTTGCAGTAGCAGCGCATCAAAGTTATTCTCTGTCTCATCACACAAACACAGTGTTGCCAACTTGGTGACTTTCTCTCTAATTCTGGCAACTTTCCAAATCTTCCTGGTGAGTTTTTTGTCAAAAACGACTAGCAACGAATCTAGTGACTTTTTCCGGTGTTATTGGAGACCTTTCTGATGTTTTGGAGACTCTGACGTGAAAGCACGTTTCGCCCTGGAGTTACTGTCCTCAAAGAGCACAGCGGGTCCTGCCGTGAGCCCCTCCCCCGTCTCAAAGCACTCACAGGCGGTCAGTCTCAGTGTAGCCTCGCGTGGCAGTCCCACCCTCAGTCACTTACTCACCTCTCCCACTGTGTGTGTACCTCTCTGTGCCATAAGCTAAACACCTAGCTAGCTAACTGTCTCAGTCTAAAGTGTACGTTCAAAAATACAGAAAGAAGTGGGAATCAAACCCTGAATTCAAATTGGAGACTTACATGTATACCTCAGGGTGAATTTTATTTTTAGTTTTAATTTTACTGACAATATCAAGCTTTATGTAGCAACAAGTTTGTTCCCTTATAGTTAGAAGTAGAATTGGCCAGTTCTCTGAATGGTTTCTATCATTTAAATTGTGTTGCTCTGTTTGGACAGGTCAGCAATAACACAACTGCACAGTCAAAGTCAAAGTCAAAGTGTTTATTTGTCATATGCACAGTTAGGAAATTTGTTTCCCTGTACAATGAAATTCTTACTTTGCCGTCCACCTGAATGCACACAATACAAATGAAATTAGAAATCGAATGTCCTCGCAGTCCCTTAAAGTCATAGTTATTTTTAGAAGTGATGGCCTATTTAAATGGCAAAATAAATTAAAAACAAAAACAAAACAAGCATCATCAGAAGAAAGTTCATTTGTAGTTCTAAACATATTTAGGGTGTTTTTTTACTCACTTCTTGTCTCTCTCATGACGTTATTCCTCTCTCCTACAGCGTCCATTACAATTACTCGCAAATAGACAGTTATGCAAAAGGCGATGTCAAAAAATTCGTAAAAAAAAATA